ATAATAATAAAATAAATAATAATAAATAATAATAATAATAAATAATAATAAATAATAATAATAATAATAAATAATAAATAATAAATAATAATAATAATAATAAATAATAAATAATAATAATAATAATAATAATAATGATGATAGCTCCAAAAAGAATAATAATTATATATTATTAAATATACAAAGAAAATAATAATAATAACTATAAAAAGAATAATAATAACAATCTATTGTGCATTTAAACAGAAAAACCCTGAACAACAATAATAATAAAAATAATTTAATAAATAAAATAAATAAAAATAAAAAATAATAATAGCTGCATGTACACTACCGAGCTGCCTATACACCTCAAAGCTGCCTATACACCTCAAAGCTGCCTATACACCTTAGAGCTGGCTAAAAGGGCTAGCAGCAGCAGCAGGAGGAGCTACAGAAGCAGCTACAAGCGCGACAAAAGATATAATATGCTGCAACAGCAGCAAAGGAAGGTTTAATTTGCTGCTGCTGCAGCAGCAGCAGCAGCAGCAGTTCTGCTACTCGGTGTGCGCCTGCTGCCAGTCCAGCAGACAGGCAGCACCCCTGCCCTCATTTGCTGCAGCAGTTGCTGCATCTGCTGCTGCATCTGCTGCTGCTGCTGCTGCTGTCGGTCGGTGTGCTGCTGCAGGACCTTCAGGTCCATTTGGTTTGGTTTTTGCTGCTGCTGCTGCTGTGCTGCAGCAGCAGCAGCATCTACGACTCGAAGTGCTTGCTGCTGCAGCCAGAGTGTCTCTCCCCCTCCAGGAGCAATAAATGTTTTCCGCTGCAGCGGCCGCTGCACAACTGCGGTGTACATACACTGTCTTGCTTGCTTTGCAAGCTGCTGCTGCTGATTCGCTAGCTGCTGCAGCAGCAGCCACGCGGCCTGCTGCTGCTGCTGCACACGCCTCATCAAACGCCTGCCTTGCTGCTGCTGCTGCTGTTGCTGCTGCTGTTGCTGTTGCTGTTGCTGCTGCTGTTGCTGCTGCTGCTGAACGACGAGTGGATGGCCAGGGCCCGCGCCTTCTGCTTAGTGCTGCAGCAGGTGCAGCAGCAGCAGCAGCAGCTGCTGCTGCTGCTGCTGTCGCTTGAATCCTCAACGCTGCAGCAGCGTCAACCAAAGTGCCGCAGCGGCATACAAGGTCCGCCGCCCAAGCTGCTTCTGCTGTTGCTGCTGCTGCTGCTGCAGTGTGCTGCAGCAAAGACAACTCTGAGGGCCCCAGAAGCGCAGCAGCACCTGTAGGACTTGCTGCTGCTGATGCTGCTGCTGCTGCTATTGCTTCTCTTGCCGTCTGTTGAAGACGGCAGAGGCGTCCATGCAGCAGCAGCAGCCGCTGCTGCTGCTGCGATGAAGCAGCAGCAGGAGAAGCAGCAGCAGCCGCATGTACACGTGGGTTGAGCTGCCGCCATCTCCGTTTCTGCTGCTGCTGCTGCTGCTGCATTTGTCTGCTGAGCCCCTTGCGCACTGCAGCAACAGCCGCGTATATCTGCAGCGCTACGTCTGCTCTTGCTGCTGCTGCTGTTGCTGCTGCTGATGCTGCTGCTGCTGACGCTTCTTCATTGAGGCGCAGCAGCAGCAACTCAGCAAGCAGCGCCGTTTGCCTCGCCCATCTAAGAGAGACATCTACCCCTCTCCCTGCTGTTGCTGCTGCTGCTGTTGCTGCAGCAGCATCTGTCGCTGCTGCCTTGGAGGCCAGGCGCAGCTGCAGCAACAGGGTTTCCTGCTGTTGATGCTGTTCTTGCTGCTGCTGCTGCTGCTGCGGGTCCCCCAGCAGCGCAGCTGCAGCAGCAGGAAGCCACGCTGGAGGAACAGCTGCAGCAGCAGCAAGCAGCAGCTGCTGCGACGTTGGGTCAGCAGCGGCAGCAGCAGCTGCAGGGCGCAGCTGTGGCAGCAGCTTCTCCAGAAGCTTTGCTGCTGCTGCTGCTGCTGCTGTTGTTGCTGCCTGGTCGGGCTCGGCGTGGCGCTGCAGCACAGCAGCAGCAGCAGCAACAGCAGCAGCAAGGTGCTGCACATCCCTGAGTTGCTGCGCCTGCTGCAGCAACTCACCAGCAAACTCCGCCAGCAGCGAGTCTAGCAAGCCGTCGTTGTATAGCAGCTCAAGCTGCTGCTGCTGCCCTTGCTGCTGCCCTTGCTGCTGCTGCTGTTGTTGCTGCTGCTGCAGCAGCATGACCAGTGGTCTCAGCTGCAGCTCCAGCGTCTCCTCCGGCTGCTGCAGCGTTGAGGTGCAGATACACCCGACGCGGGGGAGTTTGCTAAGAGCAATATACGCCCCAAGCACGCTGTTGCTGCTGCTGCTGTTGCTGCTGCTGCTGCTGCTGCTGCTGCTGCTGCTGTGGGGGTTGGGAGGGAGGAGGGGCCAGCGTTCTGCTGCTTTGAATGCAGCGAGCTGCTGCAGCAGCAGCAGCAGCAACAAAGCTGCTTCCTGCTGCACCTCCACCCGCTTAAGGGCTCCCTTTGCTGCTGCCTCCCCCATCGCATCCAGCAGCAGCAGCACGTCCTCGCTGCTGTTGCTGCTGTTGCTGCTGCTGCTGGTAGCTGCAGCGAGGAAGAAGCGCTGCAGCGCATGCATATGCCAGGCATGGCAGCTAACATAGCAGTCGTCTAAAGCAGCAATAAACTCAGACAGCAGCGGCTTGCTGCTGCTGCTGCTGTTGCTGTTGCTGTTGCTGTTGCTGCTGCTGCTGCTGCGTGAGGCGGGGAGGTTGAGGAGCTGCTGGTGCAGGTGCTGTTGCTGCTGTTGCTGCAGCGAGGCAAAGCGAAGGCTGGGCCTGCTGGCTGCAGCAGCAGCAGCAACATCAACAACGCGGAAGTGCTGCAGCAGCAGACGTTTTGCTGCTTGAGGTAGCAGCAGCAAGTCGCTGCCCTTCAGCTTCTCAGGGTGCTGCAGCAGCAGCACCACCACCTGCATAACTGTGCGGTAGCTGTAGTGGGGCAGCTGCTGCAGCTGCTGCAGCAGCAAACCCTGCTCCAGCAGAAGAGGGGCCCGAAGCCGAAACTCTCGAGGCGTAAGCGGTTGCTGCTGCTGCTGCTGCTGCTGCTTCTCGTGATGCTGCTGCTGCTGCTGCAGCTCTTGCTGCTGCTGCTGCTGCTGTGCAGCGGCGCTGAACCATCTACTGCGAGGATGAGGAGCAGCCGCAGCAGCAGCAACAGCAGCAACAGTCGCAGGAGCAGCAGCAGGGCCGCAGCCGCCCAAAGGCTGCAGCTGCCGCTGCTGCTGCAGCAGATGCTGCTGCTGCAGCTGCTGCTGCAGCAGATGCTGCTGCTGCAGCTGCTGCTGCAGCAAGGCAGGCCGGTGCAGTAGAGGCCGAGTTGAGAGGCAATTTGCTGCTGCTGCCTTCTGGGATCCGATCCCAGTGGGGGGATGCAAACCCCACAGGCGCCTCATCGATGTCTGCTGCTGCTGCTGCTGCTGCTGCTGCTGCTGCTGGTGTTGATGTTGCGGTTGCCGCGGCTGTGAGACTGTTTCTGCTATTCCCTTTCTGCTGCTGCTGCTGCTGTTGCAGCAGCAGCAGCAGCAAAGCCAGAAGAGGCTTCCAAGGACTCAATCGGCAGCAGCAGCAAGCGCAGAAGAGCTTGCTGCTGCTGCTGCTGCTGTTGCTGCTGCTGCAGACGTAGCGTCTGTGTGAGGAGGAGAAGCAGCAGGTGTGTGCCTCTTGCGCAGCGAGCCGCAGCAGCAGCAACGTGCTGCTGCTGCTGCTGCTGCTGCGGAGATCAAATCGACGCTGGTTTGCTGCAGCAGCAAACAAAGAGCTGCTAGAGTGTATGCATGCGCAGCAGCAGCAGCACTTGTGGCATTGAAATATTTTTTGTCTTCATCTAATTAATAAAATAAATGCTGCTGCTGCTGAAGTTTCTGTCGCTGCTGTTGCTGCTGCAGTTCCTGCTGCTGCTGCTGCTGCTGCTGCTGCTGCTGCTCCGCGGGGCTGCAGCAGCAGCAGCCAGTCGTCTGCGGCGTTTGTATAAAAATCGGGGGAAATAAAAACACAAATTATTAAAACTGCAGCAAAATAAACAGAAGTCTTAACTCCAGGTGTACAGACACCTCAATAGCTGCGGAGCTGCAGCAGCAACAGCAGCAGCAACAGCAGCAGCAGCAACAGCAGCAGCAGCAACAGCAGCAGCAGCAACAGCAGCAGAAGGTCAAACTCCAAGCTTCCATTACAATATATGCTGCAGCAACAGCAGCAGCAGCAGCAGTAATAACAACAGCAGCAACAGCAACGGTAACTACAGCAACAGCAGCAGCAGCAGCAGCAGCAGCAGTAGCGTTTCCTTTTTTCTGCGTTGGCTGCTGCTGCTGCTGCTGCTGTTGCAGGTGTTGCAGTTGCTGCTGTAACATCTGCACAGAGGAGCCAGCACAGCAGCAGTAGCGGCAGCAGCAGCAACAGCAGCAACAGCAGCAGCAGCAACCGCAACCGCAACGGCAGCAGCAACAAACACAGCAACGAGCGCAACAACAACTGCAGCAACAGCAACAACAGCAGCAGCAACAGCTGCAGCAGCAACGGCAGCAGCAACAGCAACGGCGGCGGCAACAGCAGCAGCAGCAACAGCAGCAGCAGCAACAGCAGCAGCAGCAACAGCAGCAGCAGCAGCAAAGATGGATCCCTCTATCCCCTTGAAGCCTTCTGAGGCGTTAGCTGAGGAATTGTTTGCCTCACTCGTAAACAAACCCTAAACCCTAAACCCTAAACCCTAAACCCTAACAATGATATAAACCCTAAACCTTATAAACCCTAAACCCTAAACCCTAAATCAAAACAAAGATATGGATCATAAACCTTATAAACCCTAAACCCTAAAACACTAAAACCCTAAACCCTAAACCCTAAACCCTAAACCCTAATTTGATATAAAGCCTAGACGTTATAAACCCTATAACCCTAAACCCTGAACAATGTAAGGATATAAACTTTAAACCCTCCAAAACCTAAAAGCCCTGTAAACCCTAAACCCTAATAACCCTATAAACCCTAAACCCTAAACCCTTGTTAGGGTTTTGTTTTTTCGGTGTTCTCTGCCTTTCTTCTCTCCTCTTAACTCATTGTCTTATTCATACATTCTTATATTTAATTAATTAATTTGTTTGTTTATTTTATTTTGTTTATTTTAATTATTTAATTTATTTATTTACTTATTTATGCTCAGGGGCGGAACGACATCAGCTTGCTGCTGCGGTGTCTGCAGCAGCAGGAGCAGCAGCAGCAGCAAGAGCAGCAGCAGCAAGAGCAGCAGCAGCAGCAGCAGCAGCAACTACGTGAGTTTGTGGTTTGCTGCAGAGACAAAGATGAGAGGACGCTGCTGCATGCAGCAGCAGCAGCAGAAAATGCAGCAGCAATTGAAATTCTGCTGTTAAACGGAGCTGATGCTACTGCGGTGGATGATGTAGGTTGCTGCTGTAGCATTTGTTTGCTGCTGCTGCTGCTGCTGCTGCCGCTGCATTTGTT